GATTTACTTCTCTATTTGTCTTGATGACCATTTAGGACATCTTTTTAAAAAATAGCTTGCTGGATACAGAGCTTCTGACTTGCTTAGTGCCCTGATTTCTGCTTCTGCACCCCATGATCTACATCCTCATCCCACTTCTACCAGGGCTCATGCTTCCGCCCCCTTTTCCAGTAATCCAACTTCAATCCTAGGGTTCCTGGACCATTGTCCACCCATACTCCCAGCAGAGAGCTATACTTACTCCTCCTCCTGATCATAGGACTGCTTCCACTCTACTACTCCATAACTGGTTGAGGCTAAAACCAACTATTAGTGTGCAGTATCTATGCTATAGGAACTGACTTGGAGTCATTGGAGGTGATGGTTTGAAAAGCTTCATTGAGAACTTCCTAAGGAGAATTTTGACTTCCTAAAAGTGAAATAAGTGTGGCCGCTTCCTATTTGTAGTTACTCTCCTGGTTTTCAGAGTTGATTTGTAGTGAACGATAGCCAAGCACAGGTACTGGATGGCTTTGGTTTGTGTCGTGTCTTCAAGGCTATATGAGCATGTCCATGTGCAGATCCATAGGTGGATGGAGAAGACCTGAGACACATTTGCTGTCCTTGATGTGTGAAGTGAAACTTGAAGCACCTCAGCCACACTGAATCACCCTCAGACCCTCTGGAGTACCTGCCCTCCCTCCTTCTAGACCTTTCTACATGTACTCCTCTTCTATCTGGGACACGTTCTCCACCTTTTCTCCAGCTAGCTGTTTCTCTTCCTTTAGGTTACACCATTAATAGGCATTTCCTTGACATAACTTTCCTTGACTACCCATGACTAGGCTAGGACTCCCTCTATACACTCTCATATTGCCCTGCCCCATTATGAAACTTGACACACAGTCCATAATGGTGGGTTAACCTGTCCTCTTCCTTGTTAGACCATGAGCTCCTGGAGGGAAGCACCATCTTATTTGCCATTGTAGCCCTAGTTTCCAGGACAGTGACTGACCAAAGGTAATCAATATGTAATTAACACAAGGATCAATGTTATCTAATAATCACTGTGGGCCATGCTCTGTGTTTGGAGTTTTCCACATGTTTTCTTATCAAAACCTCACAACAATTCTATGATTAGGTAGTATAATTCATTATACAGAGGATAAAAGCTGATAAAAGTAATTCATCCATCATAATAGCTAGAAAGTGGTACTTGACTCTAGAGCCACCTGCTCTTAATGACTAGATTATGTAAAATGATGAACAAATAAAGGGATGTCTGAGAAGCATCCAGTCGGAGCTCTGTATGGGGATTGCAGCCTAATGAATGACCTGTGTGGTTGGCATTGACTGGCCATGATATTCAGTGGAGTCACTTTTTTCTAATCATAGAGGAAGGTCAGCTATGGGTGCCAGATTCCAGGAACTAGTAATTCATTTTCTTTAGAAGGTTGGACATTTACTGTAGCTCGTATAACTTTGGAGATCATGTGATATGGAAGGTAAAACTCTGGTTTTAGATTAGGGATACTAAGCTTGGCATAGTCTCTCTTCCCCACACAGATGATGTCAATGTTAGGTAGGTTGAAAGTGAGCATTTCTGAGTCCCACCACTTCACTGCACAGTGGAAGCCCTGGACTGGTGGGACGCTTAGAGGAAGTGTGTATAAAGTAGCATTTGACTTGATGGCTATTATAAACTTTGAGGATATTTTCTCTGGCATATTATTTTCTATCATGGAGCATCTATTAGTGTTTAATAAAAAGATAATCAAATATATATGCAGGGTGATTTCTAGGAAGTTCTGCAAATGATTAAGATTTTAGAAAGTTATGTTTTGCCACCATATGTTGTCAAGGAAGCTTCTCTCTCATAGTAGTATAATTATGGCACCCTAATTTACTGGATTAAATGGCCAAATTATTTAATTCAGGGAAAGAAAAGTATATAGATTATATTCTTACTGCTTCCCCACCAACAGAATTATAGTAAGATCTCATTTTTCCATTTTATCTCTTTGGGTGTCTTAGCCAACTTAGAGGAAAATTCTGAATCAGTTTTTAGTCACTTTGAAGGTATATGTATGTCTAGTGGCTTGAAATTATAGGGTGACCAGCGAGAAGTCCCTCATATTGGGGCCTCCTGCCCTCATTCAGTGACTATGGAACTTATCCATAAATTTACTTTTAGTTGACTTTCAGGACTTTGTAGATTATATTTTGGAAAACTTTTACTAACTACCTCCCTTAACGTGACCTTTCAAGTTAGTGGCTGTGAACCATCTTTGTCAGCAGGTCCTGTGTAGGCACCCAGTCCTCTGTCAGCGGTTGGCTTCTTTGTGTGTGTCCCTGACTGGATTGTAAGCTTGTGGACACTAGGAATTGTGTCTTATTCATAGCTGTGGGTCCTAGAATTTGTGGTGCCTAGGTAGGCTCTTGAAAAATATTTATAGGACGTTAAAGGTGTTTGTCGTGCACAAATCTTAAAGCATATTTTCTTCTTCTTTTTTTTAAACATTTATTTGTTTATTTGACAGAGAGAGACACAGCGAGAGAGGGAACACAAGCAGGGGGAGTGGGAGAGGGAGAAGCAGGCTTACCGCCAAGCAGGGAGCCCGATGGGGGGCTCGATCCCAGGATCCCAGAATCATGACCTGAGCCAAAGGCAGACGCTTAATGACTGAGCCACCCAGGCGCCCCCTAAAGATACTTTCAAATATGTATATACATGTTTTAAAAAGAGGCCCTATGATCTGTATAGTTTGGTTGTTAAAAGTATGGTCTTTGCAAGCAGTCTGCTGTTTTTATCCCCGCTCTGCTGCTTCCTAGCTGTGTAAGGAATAGAGGTCTACTTCATCAGCATGCTATGAAGACTCATTTACCTAAATATATCCTGTGCTTGCAATGTACAGGGTAGAGAGCTTACTTTTGTTTTGCAGAGACAGATTATAAACAAGTAAACACAGAAAATAGGAGAATTTCAGATTGGGCAAGGGGTAGGAGGGAACTTAGTGAGATGGGAAGAATTTGAGTTGGGGTCATGCAGGAGTGGAAGGGACTGTGGCAGCTGGGCGAGTGAGCCTGGACACGGAGGCCCTGCAGGGAAGCCTGCTGGGCATGTTCCTGGGGAGCAGAGGAAGCTGAAGAAGATCATATTTATTGATTTTATTTTGAAATACGGATTTAGAGCTAACAATTTAATGGTGAAGACAACCAACAAGGACAGCATGGATGGGAGGAGAAGAAGAGGGCCCAAGTCTTACAGGGTTGGGCTGAACAAGTTCACCTACCTTCAGGGCCAGGCCAGTACCTTGACTTAGTGAGGACAGTGTGATCTCACTTGGGTTTTTCAGTCTTTAGTAGATACACAGGTGTAGAGAGGTATTTCTCTGAGAAAAATAGTAGTGCAAACACCATGATAAATGGCAAGTGAGTAATACAAATGTGATGGTAATGGCAAGTGGCTCTTGACCTCCGTGTGAGAGACCCAGTCGGGGTTGGGGGGCAGCCTGGAGACTCCTGGCCATCTGGTCCTCAGTGCCAGCCAAGTGTTGCCATGTGGGAATGTGGGCTCCAAGTGCTAAATCTGTCAAGTTTCCCAAAGAACCAGAAATCTTAATTTCTATGTGAAATTCCCAGAGTTAAAAATGTTGGCTCATGTTTTAAAAACCTTACGATGGGCAGACAAAATGCATCTGTGGGCTGCCAGTTTGAAACATCTGCTGAAAGTTCTTTTATGCTATGAAAAGGGGGATTGTGTGAAGTACGATGCATGTTAACATGTTAACTGTGTAGCCTTATGCCTAATACATAGCCAGTACTGAAGGGATAAAGGTACTTTTTAAATAATCGCACCATGTTTAGTTGTCTTCACCTTTAATTTGTTTAGTTAACTCTAAATCCATATTAAAAAACACATATCAGGGTGCCTGGGTGGCTCATTCGGTAAAGTGTCTGCCTTTGGCTCAGGTCATGGTCCCGGGGTCCTGGGATCGAGCCCTGCATCGGGCTTCCTGCTCAGCAGGGAGCCTGCTTCTCCCTTTGCCTGCTGCTCCCCCTGCCTGTGCTCTCTCTCTCCCTCTGACAAATAAGTAAATAAAATCTTAAAAAAAAATAAAATAAAATAAAAAGCAAATATTATCCTACTCTAAAGTGATTAATGTGTACTAGTTTTATTTGCCTATTAATTGTTTAGTTGTTTGCCCTGTCAATTTCTTTGATGAATTCTGTATTCATGGTACAAAGTAAACATTAATCTAGTCTTACTCATGTGATAAAAGTAGAGAAGAACAAAGGATGAACAGTTTTTGGTTACTCTTTCTTATTTACCATCTACCACTTTTGCTCGGTGGTGGTTGCTTCCCTCACTCCTTCTTGCTCCTTCACACTTTTGGGTCTCAGTCGCCCCGCCTGCATTAGTCGCGTGGAAGCGGAAAAGAACCGTGGCAAAGATGCCATTTTGCACCAGGCAAAGGATGACAGGAATGCAGCCTTACGACATGATGTCGTGTTTAGAGGTTTTTCATCAGTTTTAATGAAATACAAATGTGCCCAAAGCAAGTTATTAATTTTTTTCCCAGAAAAAAAGTCTTCATTTAGTATGGCCTAATCCACGTAGTTTTGTATTACAAGGATTATGTTTGGTGTGTCGCAATCTGTTGGCAATGGTCTTGGGGAATTTTATTCAGCACAAGCATCTCTGACAGTTTTGGCGTCAAGTGGGGTCAGTTACTTGTTCATGTACTTTTGGTCTTGTTGTCTCTATGTTAAAAACTCTGAAGCATAACGGAGAGGAACACTGGGAGTAACAAAATATACTTGAATATTTCTAATAGATTAAAGGCTTATAAAAACGAATCTCTGTTTTCAGCAAGTCTTTTTTTTTTTGCATTGTTTTAAAATGAGGTCATTTTATCAGCATGAGACTAAAGACTTGAAAATAATTTTTTTAGAAGAATCTTATCTAAATACAAGTTCTTAATTGAATCAATATTTTTCTCTCTTAATTTTTGTTACAGATCATGGAGGAAACAAATACGCAGATTGCTTGGCCATCAAAACTGAAGATCGGAGCCAAATCCAAGAAAGGTAAATCATGAGAGATGGAGAAATTGGTGGGTTTGATAATGGAGACTGGAATTACTGGAAGTTTGCCAGGGAGAAAATCAACCTTTATTCTTATCATGTATGTCCCCAAATATTTGTGAAATAGCAATATTTTGGGAGGTTTATCATAATTAAAAATTATGCCTTTTATCCAACAACCAAAAAAATTAGGTATTTTATTGTAATAGAAATGATATTATGGAAGATACCATAGCAAATTATGATTTCAGTGATGTCCTTTCATTTGATAGCCATGAGTCATGGTGACTCTCTGCATGTAACCACATGTTTTCAACACATAAACTCCCAGTGTTTATACTTTAGGCTTCTTCTTTTTGTACCACACGAATTTAATAGTTATTTTTTTCTCCCTCCAGTGTGTTAGAAACCTCAGGTTCCCTTTCTTGCACATTTATTCTCTTCATCTGTCAAACAGTAGTGAACCCAGTACATTTCTCTTTTAGGCTGAGTGTTTCCCTTGTGTGGCCTTTCTTCTGCTTTATTCTAGAACACACCATCCAATGCATGGATGGTCAGGAATGAAAGTATAGGCACCGTTAGTTTTTTTCCCAGATTACATAGTATTTTCAAGTGACCTGCCAGTATTTCTGGATGTTTTTTCAAAGTATAACTTTAGTCTCAACAAACTTTGTTGTGTATACTTCATTATAAGATACATGTAGTCATTAGAAGCTGATGAGAGATACTATCAAATAATTCAAAAACAATGGTTGTGCAAGCTGAACATTATCTGTTTTGGTCCAGCTTTTTTGTTGTTGCTCTTTAGTTTCATATTTGCTTTCCCTTCTCCCTATGACTTTATTGCTAAATGATATGAAACATTGAAAGATTTCTCTTTTTCTTTTCTTATTTTAGTTCAGATTGCCTTCTTTTAATCTCATTTTATTAGTTACTCATCACATGGAATGTAAATTATTTTACAGTTGTTGTGAGGACTAGCTGGACTTCAGTGTACTGGGGTTCCTACAGAAACTCTGCTCTTGTTACTTTCTCGTTTCTGATTGTGGTGGCAAGAAAGGAAAAGCCTGGGTGCTAAAGAGTCATAAGAGGACATGGTGAATTTCCAAGTGTGATTCTATAACTTCATACGTGCCTTCCATTTGACGAGTGCTATGGGATAGAGTCTTAATCTTCAGTGTGTTGAGATGATTTATACTCATTATGCTGAAGAAGAAATTACTCATTAGTGGGTTATCTTCCTATTTGGTTGTGGCCATTTAAAAATCCCTGGCCTACTACCTGAATAAATTGGAACTTGAACATAAATTGGATTCTTTTTCCCTATTGTCAGGTATTTTTACTTAAAGAATGAAATGAACTTCATTACTATCCTAATAAAAATGTAATTTGATCAGTTTCCAAGGAAACATGAATATTAAAATGATTCCAGATAATTTTGAATGGCTTATTCTCTTGCACTACCCATGCGAGGTTTTTTTTTTCCCCCACTATCATGAGAAACTGGGAATTGATTAATTTTTTTATTCAAAATGTGGTTACAGCTTTAGAGATTTTAGATAATATGGAGATAAATAGATGAGGTTAATGTTTTAAGTTAGTTTCCAGTCATTGACATACTTAACCCATTCACAGTGACCCATTCCACATTTTGATTATACATTTTGCTTTGAAAATAAAAATATTTCAGCAGTACATTTTGAGGGCATTTAGCACAATTTCCCCATGGTTAAAGTTAACCTTTGGAATTGTGCCTAAGAATTGATCCCTCCAGGCCTATGTTAACAGACATCATTTTATTTTTCCATTATTTATGAAGTGCTATGAGTGTACAGAGTATAGTATGATGAGCAGAATGTGCCAAAAGAGAGAGACTGAGCTCAAGGAAGGGAGAAAAAAATCAAAAATTTTCCTCAGAGGAATTTACGGTTCAGAATTTATTTGCGTTGCTCTTATTACTTAAACACACAGCTGCTGAATCAGTTCTTGGCTAACATCCCTGATACGTGTATTCCCATATCAATTTTAAAATGGTTAAATTCAGAGATGAAATTTGTTTGATTATAATTTGTACTAAGTAAAAATAAAATGAAAATGGCAGCAGGACCTTCAGAAGGTAATTCTTTCATTTGATGTGGATATCTGCCTCTAAGTTGTTGTATGGAAAGCAGTTGTTAGTCTTTATTTTAAACCTTCTTCATTCTAAACTAGCATTATTCAAGAGACCCAAGAATATAAATGTGTCTAGGGATTCGTGCCATGTTTGGATGGTTATTAAATTCTAAATTCCATGGTGATACGAAGATTTGGAATATACAGATAATCCCCAGACGATGCTAGTGATACAATATAGGCGTGGGTTTGTGTTGTATTTTACTCTCTAGACTTTTTTTTTTTTTTAAAGATTTATTTATTTATTTGACAGAGAGAGAGACAGCGAGAGAGGGAACACAAGCAGGGGGAGTGGGAGAGGGAGAAGCAGGCTTCCCGCGGAGCAGGGAGCTCGACGCGGGGCTCGATCCCAGGACCCCGGGATCATGACCTGAGCCGAAGGCAGACGCTTAACGACTGAGCCACCCAGGCGCCCTTATTTATTTATTTATTTATTTATTTATTTATTTATTTTAAAGATTTTTATTTATTTATTTGACAGAGAGAGACACAGTGAGAGAGAGAACACAAGAGAGGGAGAAGCAGGAGAGGGAGAAGCAGGCCTCCTGCCGAGCAGGGAGCCTGATGTGGGGCTCGATCCCAGGACCCTGGGATCATGACCTGAGCCGAAGGCAGACGCTTAACAACTGAGCCACCCAGGCGCCCCCTCTCTAGACTTTTGATCCTGTTGGTTGAATATATAAGCCTAGACATTTTTCGTGGCTGCTGTGACCCGTCTGCCCCCTTCTTTACCCTATCAGAGTTTAGTCCTATGCTTTATTTTTGAAGCTGCCAACCCTTTATCAGAGTGGCTGTGTGGCTGCTTTGGTTGAAGTGCTGGTAGGGAGCTGCCTGGTACAAAGGCAGAAAGCCAACGACCTGAATTTCCTGTCACTTAGAAAAATCAGATTCTTCTCTGGAGATTCTGGTTCAGTAGGTCTGCAGTGGGACTGGGAAATGTATACTCAACAAGTTCCTCTGGCGGCTTTTATGGTTAAGCTGAGTTTCGGAAACAAAAATCTTAACATCTGACTTGGAAATATCATGACTTGGGGCGCCTGGGTGGCTCAGTTGGTTAAGCGACTGCCTTCGGCTCAGGTCATGATCCTGGAGTCCCGGGATCGAGTCCCGCATCGGGCTCCCTGCTCGGCAGGGAGTCTGCTTCTCCCTCTGACCCTCCTCCCTCTCATGCCCTCTGTCTCTCATTCTCTCTCTCGCAAATAAATAAATAAAATCTTTAAAAAAAAAAAAATATCATGACTTAGTTACGAGGAGACCATGTGTTCAGAGGCAGTGGATGATGATTGCTGTTGAAAAACAGGCACAGGTCCTTCAACAGCCCCTTCTCCTGGATAATGTCCATCTTGGTTTCTAAAAACTGCACTTTTGTGGATTCATTAATTTTAAGTTTCTGTCATCTTTGCAGTCAGCATGAGCAAGCTTAGAGTGATAACTGTTGTTCTGTGTCTGTGTGAAATACAATTTTGGGTAAAAAGCCGTCTGGTAATTGTCCCTCTCTCTACCCCTTTCTTCCCTCTCTCTTCCTCTTTTACTCCTCCTCCACTCCTCTTTAACCATATAGAACACAGTGAAAAAATGTAATAGAAACATTTCCATTTAGTAAGCATGGCATTTTGGGAAAGAGCATGTTTTGTCATATAAAACTCAGGGACTATAGAATTTTTTAGAATTTACAGGTATTTGAAATTATTGGGAGGTTGAGTTCTCACTAGAGCCAGAAAGAACTGAGAATTTAAGATTCAATATAATGGACAATTAAGTAGGCAACTCTAGGGTTATTCTAATGGGGGGGGTCATGATTAAGAAAAATAAAGGAATATTTAGTATTTCTTGTGTATAACACGCATTTATATTGTGTGGAAGAAAATAAAATTCTTTCCAACTCTTAGATTCAGAATGCTAGAATATTCTGTCTTAAATAGAAGAACCAGAGGTTTATGTCCATGAAGATAGTACTTAAGGATTAAGATGTTTAATGCTGTAAAGCCTTACTAACAGAATAACTTTAGGCACTCATTAATTTTGAATATGCTATTCTGAATTACAGCCTGTTTTAAAGTAAATGCAGCTTCATTAAAGTACAGATAGCATTTTGAACAAGTTTGACTGTTTTGCTGAATAGAAGTCCTGCCAGACCTGCCTTAACAAATAGATAAAAGTGATTTGTAATGATAATTTATCACACTGGTATGATTATGCTGCGTGTGATGCTAAATGAGTTTGTTCTCTTAAATACGGTAAACATTTGTCTTACATTTTCTTTTTGCCCTTAATTTGCTCATCAGTCTCTTCTTAAACTGGCAAAGTTGTAAATGTGGGTGAAAATTGTTTAAAATTTTCATGCCAAATTCCAAATAAATGTGGTCAGCATTGTTGAAGCTTTATTGTCTTTTGCTCTGGGAAGGAGTTGTCTTACAGAATTTAAGTGATAGAAACTGTTCTCTCCAAGTGTTTCTTTTATGACAGACGATTCCGGATGCCCCAGGATAATCAGGAATGAAAGGTGTGGCTGAATTGCTTGATGTATCCTGGTTTGGAGGCAATTTGGCACCAAGTTTGGCCATTTTCTTCGTCCTGGAATAAACAAGAAGATCATTAAAATGAGGTTTTATTATTTTTGGTTGCATTCCATCAGAACAAGTGATATCTAATAGGAAATCTTAGCTTGAGAAAAACTGTCGACTGTTCACTTTATTTTTTCTGGAGGAAAATGTTTTGTGAAGTGTACTTATACTTTTTTGGGGTATTCACGTTGAACTGGTTGAGGCCTTTAACATAGTATTGTTCAAAGGGCAGAGAGCAGAGAAGAGGCATGGTACGGTGAGCTGTGT